GCCAGGGGCGCCACCCAGGCTCTGGGAAGGTGGGTCCCGAGGAGCTGCGGGGCCTTGGACCGGCTCCGCGGGGAGGGAAAGCGCGCAAACTGGGGACGGACCAGCGGGCGCCGGGGAGAATGAACCCGGGAGTCAATGACCCTCCCCCGCCCTGACTGCTCTCGCCCGGCGCCTTCGTGCCAGGGCTTTTGCTGATACAGGAAACCCACTTTGCTTCTTGCCAGCACTTGGCTTCTACATCTCATCGCCTTTGGAAGAATCGATGGCAAAGCCGCGCGGGCGGACGGACAGCCCGCCCTTTCCTCCCCGGGTCCCCTGGGGAGGCCGCTGCGGACAGTTCACAGGTGCAGCACGGAGACTAACCCTTTGGAAACCCGTGTGACAGTTTAACAGAGTGGTTCTGTGTCTGCGGCAGTAATTATAAAAAATTGGTGCTTTCATCTCAGTGGCCTTTTAAAACTTTTTTTCTTCTTTTTATCGTGGTTACATACACATCACATAAATGTACCATCTTAGCCGTTTTTAAGCTTACAGTTCAGTGCAACCACCAGAACTTTTCTTCTTCTTCTTCTTCCCTACAACGTAATTCAGCTGTTTGTGTGTTTCTCCCACTGGAATGTGAACTGAGGACAGGGGTTTGGAGCACATCGTTGGTCCTCAGTAAATACTGTTAGGGATCACATTAGGAACAGTGTCCCCAGTAAGCACTCACTTCCCAGGTCCCCGCCCTCCTACCCAGGGAACCTCTATTCTACTTTCCGTCTTTATGAATTGACTACCTTATGAAAGTGGAATCAGACAACAGGTGTCCCTTTGTGTCTGACATTCCACTTAGCACAATGTGCTCTTTTGTTTGTTTAATTTTTCTAGCCGTGCATTTTTATTATCTGGTACAAAACTATTGGGCCACGCGGATTGGTCCTTCACCTCAGGTTGAGAGCAAAGTCTCAGGGTGTGATGCCACCCTGACCAGCTACCCTTGATCTTGTCCCTGTTCCTTCCCCTCCCACCTCCTCCAATAGCCACACACAGTCCCACCTCAGGACCTTTGCACTTGCTGTTCCCTCTACCTGAACGCCCCCCCTAATAGATATCCATGTGACTCACACCCTTCATGAAGCCCCGTGCGGCTTTGCTATCGATTCTTCCAAAGATGTGATGAGACGTAGAAGCTAAGTGTTTGCAAGAAGCAAACTGGGTTTCTGATATAAACAAAACATCTACACATCTAAAAAAGTAAATAAAAATTCCCTGGTGTAAGAAAAGAGACGTCCCCTTCCCTTTCCCCTTTCTTAGACCATTTTCTTTGGAAAACTTGTAAATCTTTTCTCTAGCCTATTGAGATGTATGCAAATTCTTTTGAAAGCGAAATAAGCCTCCCACCAGCCAGTTTTACACCCGGGAATGTTTCTCTTTGGGAGCTCAAAGCCATCTCTTTGAAATGTAAACATCCAAGAGAAAACCCCTCTATCCTGTGTCCTGGGAGTTTCACGGAGGCACCTGGCTCCAAGCTGTCATAAAGATATGCGATGTTTTAGCTTCCCTTTGGGTAAATACCATCAGCTAACATAACCCTGGCTGGGTGCTCAGTTGGTATCATCCCGATGTGCCAAGGTTGTGGGTTTGAGCCCTGGTCAGGGCACAAACAAGACTCAACCAATGGATGCATAAGTAGGTGGAACAACAAGTAGATTTTTTTTTCTCTCTCTCTCCCTTCTTCCTGCCTTTGCTCTTTCTCTAAAATAGATAAATAAATAAAAAGGACAATTAGCTAACACAGATGGCCACCCCAATTGCCAGCCATATTTAAATGAACTATGTGGACTGTCAAGTCCTCTTACCTGAGGATAAATCATCATTTATAAGGATGAAATCTCTTTCTGTTATTATAACTATTGATTTGGACCCTATATGGATAAACGGCTCATAGATTGGGTTTGTCCTCAAGACTTAAAAACAACTAGAACCATGAACATTAAACCTTTCAGCGGGAGCCTCAGAAAAAGACTTTGATGTTAAATAATGGCCTCACCTTCAACTCATTGCCTAACTGACTTCTTCCCTGATCCACCACTTTTGAGTCCACACACACCCCCCACCCTGTCTTATCACTCTTCCTTGCTTCATTATTCCATACAGCGCCTAATGCCTTCTAATGTACAACGTAATTCACCTGTTTGTGTGTTTCTCCCACTGGAATGTGAACTGAGGACGGGTTTGGAGCACATTGTCGGGCCTCAGTAACTACTGTTAGGGATCACATTAGGAACATTTGCCTCCTGTGAGTAGGGTTTCTGGGTTTTAGCTGATGGCCTTGTAATGTTGGCTCTCTGGGGCCTTCTCTGTTTATGGGTGGGGTTGCCAGTTGCATTCTTAGTAGATTCCTGATATCCAAATTGCTGGCTTTTCAGATGTCAAGGTCAGCTCACCCCAGCCAGGCCCCCATACTATTGTGACCTTGTAGATGGACTTTGGGACAATGGACATGGAGGATGTGATGATTAGGAAGATGAAAGTGAGCCAGCACCCACTGACCTGCTATTTGGACCACAAACTCTTTCTTCTGGAGCAGAACAGGGTTCTGGATGGAGCAGGACACGTTGCTGTGGGCCCCCCCTTGGACGACCACAGATGTCTCCAGACTGAACAGGCCACGGGCGTCCTGGGTGATGGCTTCGAACTCCGGAGGCAGGCACTGTCCCAGGTGGCCTCTCCACTGAGCCTGAGGCTTGGGGTACCAGCCACTGGAGCTGCACCTGAGCTGAATGCCTCCTTTCTTGAAGCCCTCAAGGGAGATGTGAGGGTCTGACCCCATTCCTGGGAGAGGCAGGAGTGGGAAGGATTAGGCTCCTTCCTGGAAGTTGTGGTTAAAGCTTATCATTTTCAGTCACCATAAGGCATCACGAACTATGACTGCTCTGAGCACAACAGGGGCTCATGGCCTCCACCCACGGACTGTCAATGAGGAGTCCGTTGGAACATTTGGAAACATGGAGGAGGCATTTTACTCGAAGGGGCTACTGACATCTAATCTAATAAAAGGGTAATATGCAAATTAACTATCACTCTGTCACAAAGATGGTGGCGCCCACAGCAGCGGGACGCTGGTTTTGTCACCCCAGCAACGAGGCCAGCGTCCCTTGCCCCAGCGGTGGAGGGAGGGAGGGCAGGCAGCACGCCCCCAGCCCAGTGGACACAACGCAGGTCTGGGGGGTGGGTGTGCTCCCGGTGGCCTCCTCACGGCTTGGAGCACGCCCCCATCCCAGTGGACACAAGCTGTCAGTAGGACATCCCCTGAGGGCTCCCAGTCTGTGAGAGGGGGTAAGGCTGGGCTGAGAGACTTCCCCCCAGCGCATGAATTTCATGCACTGGGCCTCTAGTTTAGTCATATTATGCAAGGGACAGTCCCCGAGAATGAAGAATAATCTCTCCCCAGAGTTCAACAGCTTGTCTTCTCTCTCTCCTGAATCCCACCAGGGCTCAAGTGCCTGTGATAAACACACTCATTTATCGCCCCATCCTTGTGGCGCTAGCTTTACGTTTTAAATATGCAAAACGTTAATATGGTTTAAATTCCAATACTGTAAAGATGTATGTCAGGAGAGCCCCAGACCTTTCTCCATTCTTTCCATCCCCTCGCAGCCCCTGCCTTAGGGAACGCATTTCATTCGTTTCTACTTATCCTCCCTGTGTTTTGTCTTGTGCAGTGTTTCTCCTTCTTTCTTACACTAAAGTTGACACATTATAGAACATCTCATGCATCTTGCTTTCCTTTTGTCTGAACAACCTGGAAATCACTCCGCACCAGTTCACAGAGCTGCTGTGTCTCCAGGTGCGCGGTATGGACCACCCCACGTGTGACCGGCCACACTCAGCACCCGTGCTTGCTCATTGAGGTTGCTCCCGCTAATTTGCAATTACAAAGAATGCTACACAGATTAAACTTATCCCTATGCCTTTCTTCTATTTAGCTGCGGGCGGTGTCTCTTCAGGGTAAACTCCTAGAGGTGAGATTGGTGTTCAAAGGTAGGTGCGCAGACCACCCTGCAGTCGCCGAATCCCCAGGCCCTGGCGCTTTGGGACCTTGAACTTTGTCTACATGGTGCAGAGGCTCCTCCCCACAATCCCACCAATTTTAAAGTTTTTGCCAGACTGAGAAGTAAAAAATTGCATGTCAGTGTGGCTTTAATTTGCCTTTCACGATGAGTAAAAGGGATCAATCATCTTTCCATATGTTTACGGGCTATCTGTCTATCTTTTTTTTTTTTTGTGAACAACATTTTGTTGTTCATTTTCTAATTTTTTTAACAGAGCAATTCCCCTGTTCTCCGCGCTTCCCCGTCTACTCTGAAGCCAAGCAGTTACATCCAATGGACCCTTCCCTACGGCCCCCCCGCTGGCGCTCGGCCAGCTCACAGCTCACGCACCTGCTACCTCCAGCTCCCATACAGCTTCCCCGGAGAAGGAGTCGTCGCGGGAGAGGAAGCGGCACCCATAAGAGCCCTGGTCGGCGGGGAGCACGTCCTGGAGCTGCAGGATCACGGCGCCATCCAAGATCTCGTCCTTGATGAGTGTGGTCCTGTTCTGGAACTGCGCCATCTGCCGCCCCGGGAGCTCCCGCCGGTCCTGGTACAGGTGCACCACGTTGGAGGCCTGGCTCCGGAACCAGAGGATCTCCATGTGCTCCGCATCTCGGTAGGGGGACAGGTGGCACGGGAACTCCACCTCTTCCCCGACATTCGCCAGGATGGACTCCCCAGGGCCAATCACCTTGACCTCCTCTAGGATAAGAAGACAGAACAATGGCCAAATACAGCTCTCCTCACAGATAGGCCTTTGTCATATCCCTTTGCAGCTCAGAAATCTGCAGTAAACCATTCGGACGAGGAAGGTGAGACACCCTACAAGACAGCCATCACGTTTCTTGAACAAGTTATTGTCATGAAAGAAAGGAATTGGGCCCTAACCGGTTTGGCTCAGTGGGTAGATCGTCGACCTGCAGACTGAAGGGTCTCGAGTTTGATTCTGGTCAAGGGCACATGCCCTGGTTGCGGGCTTGATCCCCAGTAGGGGGCGTGCAGGAGGCAGGAGGCTGCAGGAGGCAGCCGATCAATGATTCTTTCTCATCACTGATGTTTCTATCTCTCCCTCTCCCTTCTTCTCTGAAATCAATAAAAATATGTTTTTAAAAAAGAAATGAATTGGTAATTTCTGAATAATGGGAATATTTTCTTTTTTTTGTTTTGTCTGATTTTATATTTTTTATAGTGTACATATACACAGCCTCTGTAACAGCAAAGGGTATTAAAAATAATCTATGGGGCCCTAGCTGGTTTGGCACAGTGGATGGAGCGGCAGCCCATGGACTGAAGGGTCCCAGGTTTGATTCCGGTCAAGGACACATGCCAGGTTGCGGGCTTGATCCGCAGTGGGGGGTGTGCAGGAGGCAGCCGATCAACGATTCTCTCTCATTATTGACATTTCTATCTCTCTCTCCCTCGCCCTTCCTCTCTGAAATCAATAAAAAAAATATTTTTAAAATAATAATAATAATCTATGGGGCTCCTTGCCTTTTCTTTTGTTAATCCTCACCTGAGGAGATTATATATATATTTAATCCTCACTCGAGGAAATTTTTTTCCATTGATTTTTTAATATATATATATATATTTTATTGCTTGAAGTATTACAAAGAGTATTACATATGTCTCCTTTCCCCCCTCCCATTGATTTTTAGAGAGAGTGGAAAGGAAAGGGAGAGACAGAAACAATGATCTGAGAGAGACACATCGATTGGTTGCCTCCTGCATGCCCCTGAACAGGGCTGGGAGCCTGCAACCAAGGTACATGCCCTTGACCCTAATTGAACCCGGGGCCCGTCAGTCCGAAGACTGATGCTCAATCCACTGAGCCAAACCGGCTAGGGCCCAAGGATATTTTTTCCATTGACTTTTAGAAAGAGTGGAAGGGAGGGGGAGAGACAGAGAGAGAACATAGGTTGGTTGCCTCCCACACACAGGATTGAGCCTGCAACCAAGGTACGGCCCTTGACCAGAATCAAACTCAGGACCCTTTAGTCCACTGAGCCAAACCAGCTAGGGCACTTTACTTTTTTAAAAATTTTTAACCTAAAAGTCAAATCCTGCCCAGCTGGCATGGCTCAGTGGTCCTGGAGGTCACTGTTTGATTCCTGGTCTGGCCACATGCCTGGGTTGCTGGCTGGATCACAGTGGGGGGGCGTGCAGGAGGCAGCCAGTCAATGATTCTGTCTCCTCATGGGTGTTTCTATCTCTCTCTCCCTCTCTGAAGTTGATAAAAATATATATTTTAAAAAAAGGTCAAATCCTTCCTTGAAGATGTTTATTTGGGGGGTACACTGAACTTTATTGATGGTGCACTACAAAGTAGGGCTCCCTACGCCCCTCCCTTCTTCAGGGGTCTGGGGTGGAAACTGTGGAGGTCAGGAGATTCTCAGTGTGTTGAGGGATTGATCTGGGGCCAGGACTCCCCAGCAGCTGAGGGCCCCCTTCCTCTCGCTGGGGCTGGTGGTCCAGGGGGTTCTTACTCCTCGGAGGCCATGGGGACCATAAGGTGCACCACCCTGTTGCTGTAGCCAAATTCATTGTCAGACCAGGAAACGAGCTTGACAAAGTGGTCACTGAGGGCAATGCCACCACCAGCATCAAAGGTGGAGGAGTGGGTGTCATGTTAAAGTCATAGGAGACCACCTGGTCCTCAGTACAGACCAGGATGCCCTTGAGGGGCCCTCTGACGCCTGCTTCACTCCCTTCTTCATGTCACATATTTGGCAGCTTTCTCCAGGCGGCAGGTCAGATCCCAAATCGACACTGTGGGTGGGACACGGAAGGCCATGCCCGTGAGCTTCCCTTCAGCTCAGGGATGACCGGGCCCACCGCCTCGGCAGCGCCCGTAGAAGCAGGGATGATGTTCTGGGCAGCCCCTCGGCCATCACACCACCGCTTCCCAGAGGGGCCATCAGGGTCTTCTGGGTGGCGGTGACGGCATGGACTGTGGTCATGAGTCCCTCCAGGATGCTGAAGTTGTCATGGACGACCTTGGCCAGAGGGACCAAGCAGTGGGTGGTACAGGAGGCATTGCTGACAATCTCGAGGGAGTTGTCATACTTGTCATGGTTCACACCCATCACAAACATGGGGGCAGCCACAGAAGGGGCAGAGATGATGACCCTCTTGGCTCCGCCCTTCCAGTGAGCCCCGGCCTTCTCCATGGGAGTGAAGACACCAGTGACCCCACAACATCCTCAGCACCAGCATCGCCCCATCTGATGTTGGCGGGATCTCGCTCCTGGAAGACGGAGATGGACTTTCCACTGATGACAAGCTTCGCATTCTCAGCCTTGACTGTGCCTTTGAACTTGAATAGAATCCTACTGGAACATGTACACCATGCAGTTGGGGTCATCGAAGGGGGTCATTGATGGGGACGATGTCCATTTTCCCAGATTTAAAAGCAGCCTGGTGACCAGGTGGCCACAGTTGTTCACTCTGACCTTCACCATTGTGTGTCAGGATTGCCGCTGGCTCTGCGCGGGAAGACAAGGCTGTGTGATGAGCAGGAGGAGCAGAGAGCCCTGCCTTGGAGACTTCTGTTCACCAGGATCTTTCGTTTGATCATCCTCTCTCGCGGCGTGTCCATCTGGTCCCTCCGGTTTCTGCAATTCCCAGGAGAGGTGCTAGTCTTGCTGCCGTTCTTCTGCACGAGCTGTTTCCTGCCTCCCGGCATGCCTCACTCTTCTCTCTGCCTTCTGGGAACCTCCTTTCCTTCCTTCGAAGATCAGCTAAAAGCTACATTCATCCCAAGCTGAACTAAAACCTCATTCCCAGCTCTCCCATCATGGATCCCGCCCCCTCTTCGGTGGGGCATGGTGGTGCCTTCTTTGTTCATTCCACTTGAGATCCCTTGTGGCCACGGGTGAAGCCCCAACACCCTTCCAACTAGCTTCCTTCTCTAGCTCCCCGCCCCCACCCTCCACACCTGATGCCTGGCTCTCCCTGGGTGCACACTCCCTCAGTTTACCCTCCACCTGTCATCTTTCTGCCTAATATGTACCCTGCAAGGCTCTGCTCAGACACGTCCTCCTATCTAGGGCTCTTTTTGGCTTTCTGGAAAAAACCCCCAAATGATTCTCTTAGCTCTGCTCCCAAAACTTGGGTATATTTCTCTTGCACCCTGATCACAAACAGCTGGACAGATGGATTTAAAAGTATTTTCCAACTGGCTCAGCCCAAGCACAGACCAGTAAGAGTTTCTTGGCACTCTCTTGCTCTGCCCCGGCCATGCTTGTGAGCTGTGGGGAGTGTGTAGGAATATGCTGGGTGGCTGGAGAGATGGGGAAAGAGCACTGCGGGTGGGGCTGGCTGGTGTGTGGGGCCGATGGCTCTAACCACTGGGATGGAAATGTTCTTAAATACTAGCACCCGGCATGGCTACAGATCTCAGCCGGGAGCACCTGCAGGAAGGGTAGGTGGGAGCTGATATGCTCACGTCCTGGATGGCTGGGCTGCAGATCGGATACGCTACCTGAGTTTGACTCCCGAGGCTGGAGGAAGAGGAGGAGGTGGATAAGGAAGATGAGACTGCTGGGCTGAGGTACCCGCTGAAACGAGTCCAGGGAAACTGGGGAATTTACCATCTCCTCAGCAGTAGGGTCACCTGCAGAGGGACAAAGAGATGCTGGGGTGACACAGGAGAGCTGGAACCCGGCCCCTCAGGCCCGAGGTCTATCAGTGCCTTAATGATATTTCACCTGGTTCTTAACAACCCCAGTACCTGGCTTCTTCTAAACCAAGCATGTCAAACTCGTGGCCTGCAGGCCACATGCCTCATTTATGTGGCCCGTGTTAGCCTTTGAGTTTGACATGCTTCTTCTAAACCATAGCCGGATGTGAGAGCTGCTTCTAATTTTACCAGGCAGCTCTGTTAATGGCATCACTGGCCTTGCCTGGCCTCACGGAGCCACATGGGGACAGGGCCCAAGGTCCCAGAGGAAGCGGTTCCTGAGGTTCACATTGTTTTAGAGCCAGAAATAGAGCCACATGTTGTACGGGGGCTCAGCTAGTATTTAGTGACTTTCTACAAAGGGAAATCTATAGAAACTCTCACATGCGTTTTCACTCTCCCTGCCCAGCCCTGTTCCCATTTCCCTTGGCCTGGAACATCAGGTCCACAAAACAGATGAACAAACACCGAGTTCTAATCTCTCAGAAATGGGACGCATGCCTGGCAGCTGCTGACCGACTTCAACTGCACCTGGGACACCTCCCTCCGGTCCTAGACCCTCAGGTGTGACCTCCAGGAGGTTAGCCGGTGACTGCCCCGAGTCTATGGCATCTCTGAGGCCACAGTGATGGTGTGGTCCCATCTAGCTACACCAACCCCCACCTGTGGTCCAGGAAACCCACCCCCAGTACAGGCGAGGGCTGTCCCTCTTACTCCTGACACCACCTTGGGACTTGCAGCATGTCCCACAGTCCTATAGCCAGTGAGTGCGGGCAGCCGATGCATCTTGGGAGATACACAATCCTCTCCACATTTGTCCCCTGTTTAGTTGTGGGACTTTAGGCAAATTTTATAACTGGTGGAACCTCAATTTCTTTGCTTGAACAATAGAAGAAACCAATGCCAACTTCCCACAGCTTGGCTGGGAGCTCTAAAGAAAAGTGAGCACCTCCCCCCTCCGCCTCCACCTTCTAAACAGCTGCTCGCCACCCTCCACCTTCCTCCGGAGACGCATCCCCCTCCTTTCACTCCATCATAGCACCCCAAGGGGTGAGGGAGCCCCATGAAGTTTCCACTCTCATCATCCTCAGCCTCCCTTCCCCCCCCTTCTCCCTCCCACGCCGCGGTTTGGTTTCCTTTCACACAGACCTGGGACATGGCACATGCTCCTGTGGTCCTGTGGCCGCAGAGCCCCAACCAACGGTCAGCAATACCACTGGCCGGGTTGAGATGAAAGACTTGAAAACTGCTGGGTTATTCAGCAGGAGAGGGGCCAGAGGAGGCGTGAGGGTGACTTAATGGGAGAGGGGAGACTCCCCAGGGGGCCCCTGAGCTGGAAGGACTGGGTCAATAGAATACCATGGGGGTGGGAGGTGATAGCCTGTGAGGTGAGTGGGCCAGGGGCGAGGGGCCCTGCCCTCCAGGAGCTCACAGGAAGGGGAGGGGGAGACAAGCTGGACCAGTTGGTTTGTGCTTCAGGAGGGGCCTCTGGGGGGGAGGAAGTCGGAGTCCCTTCTGGAGGGTCCTGGCTGTGTTCCAGGCCAGCAGCTACTGCAGTGACTATTCACACAATAGCCAGACAGTCCAGCCTCTCACCCTCTGGGCTGAGGGCAGCAACATGTATGTGTCAGGCCTGGAAACCAGCAGCAAGAATCCCAGAACAGGGGGTGCATTTCCTCTCCTCCCCGTTCTCTTCTCTTTTGGGCCTCGGTCTTTACTTCTGGACTCTTAACTAGAGGCTCAGGAGGGCAAGACCATGAGGTCTATTAGCAGCAGCCAACGCCTCCCAGACAGGAGGGCTCAGGACACCTGACGGATCTGTTTGGACTGGCCGGGCTCTGAGGAGTCAGTCCAGTCTTACGGTAGTTGTGACTTGAGTCCTCTCTGTGGCAGCCATGGCTCATCAGGCCCACAGCTGGGGCGGGTGTGCTTCGCAGGAGGAGCGCATGCCCCGATATTCCGGGGGGCTGGGGCTGTCAGACCCTGAAATTACTGTAGGACTGCAGGTGTCTGTTGTGATGCACCCATGTGATTTCTGTCACCAAGGCTGGAGGAGGCGGTCTCTCTCTCTCTCTCTCTCTCAGAGTAATAAAAAATTAGCACAAATCGAGACCTTAGTATCTTACCAATCACTTACCTACACCAGAGTATTAAGACTATTATTGCCACAGACAAGGAAACGGAGGCACAAGGAGGCCAGCTGACCAGCCTGCGCCAGGGTGGTGGTGGAGAGCGGGTTCAAGCTCTGCGTTTCTCTGAATTCCTCATCAGCAGTGCCACGTGTCAGGACTGGGTGCCCCTTCAGTCTCCTGTCCCCCACCCAGCGTGACCCCTGTAGGGACCTCCCGGCCACAGCACTTGCCCTGATGGCATATCTTGTGCACTGAGTCCCCAGGCGTCAGCCCCCAGACCAATGAGCCAACCAACCAATCACCAGCCAATGAATAGAATTCTAAAAGCCCCCTCAAAACGGAGTCTCCCTTAGAGCGCGTGAGCAGCATCTTCTCGAACAGAAGGCACGTGCCCTGTGGTCTCTTTGCTCCCAACACACAAGGCCGTGCCCCGGAAGCCTTCACTCAGAGGGAGACAGTCTGGCAGTTCCTGAAGGGGCTTCAGAGGGGCTGAATGCCCTGTGCTGCCGAAAGGAGCTTTTAGGGGTAAAATAGGCGGGTTTAGGGAGTTTTAGAACCTAAGAGGGTCCTTGCGGGAGGAAGGCTTGGAGCCCGTAGGTGGGGGCTTGGAGCTGTCAAGAGGCATCCATTCAGACTCCCACAGGGAATAGAGAAATGCCCACACATGGGAGAAGGGGGAAACAGATTTCCACAGCAGACAGAGAATTCTACCGCTGAAGGGGGAGAGAAACAGGGGGAGTGTGAGCTTTGAAGTTGATGTTCTACCAACTGGAAGGCAACATCAAGAAGCAAAGAACTGCAGCCTTTAGAAACCTTAGAAAAAAGGGGCTCAGTGGGGACCCCCTCCCCACGTGGGAGTCTGTACTTGTTTCCAATAAATTTCCACTATTTTCATCTGCCACCTTTTGTCCATGGCTTCATTCTTCAACTGCACCTGGACAAGAGCCTGGGAAAGAAACCACCCTTGCATCCTGCGCAGGGAAATCCCCTGGACTCAGTGCCCTTCTCCCCGCCTGCCGCCTGCAGCTCACCCTCCTGACCTCTGCTTTAGAGGCTCAGTCCTCCTGGAGAGCAAGGACCCTGTGAGGGCGCACTTCCTCCTCAGCTGTGCACACCACAGGGCGTGGATTTCAGGTTCTGGATCGGGTGAGGAGGCTCTGCTGGGGGAAAGGCTTGGATGCGCTGAATATTCGGGGAAGATGGAGGGGCCAGTGGGGAGGGGAAGGACAGACGGGGGGTTTCAGGCGGGAGCTAAGTTTTGCTGGTGGGCACCTTCTCCCTGCTCTCCAGGGAGCCTCAGCGTGTTCCCTCCTGAGGACCCGGGAGGCGGGGGGTGGGGGGAAGGAAGGCTCGGCCACATGGGCACACAAATGCTGCCGCCTTTGCCAGGGGAAGCCCAAGTGCCCTCATTCCTTTCCTCCTCACGCTCCCCCCCCCACCACCCCCTCCAACCCATTCCAGTTTGCTCCTCCTGCTTCTCCAGTTCCTAGAACTCACCCATGGTCTCGAGATTGCAGGTCCCTCAGCTTTGAGTATCTCTTCAAAGGTTATTCTTTGCTTTTGCTACTTTCGTGAGCTTCGCCCTCGTCCCATGCCCAGTGCCCTAAGCTGTAAGCCCGGGAGAGGGTTTGCACCTTGGCCGGCCACAAGCTGCCGGTGGATCGATGCTCACTGGCTCGCTTTGGTTTGATCTCAACAGGCCCACAAGGGAGCTTCTACCCCGTCTCCCAGGCAGATGAACCTCCCCAAGAAGGGACCCTCAGGCGGAGCTGCATCTCCCCGCGGCCACACTCCAAACCCCCTCCCTGCAGCCAGGCCCTGCTGGGAAGATGGGGCCAACCTGTGCTCGCTCAAGAAGCCATCAATTTCTGCTTCCCGGTTCTGAGAGGTGGAGGTGTGGACAGGCTTGGGAGTGAGCCACGTACCTGGCAGGCTGCGGCGGAGGGTCCGAAGTGGCAGACGAGTCCTGGCGATCCCAACTCTGGGGCAAAGAAGATGCTCGTTGTAAAGAGTCTTGGTCCAGTTGAGGGAAAGCTCACGTGTGACAAGTCCCCATCTACCTTCCACCTTAACACACCCGCTGCTTGCCCTGCCCTTTGCTATAAAAGCCAAGAGAGATAGACAAAAGGAGGAAGTCCCTGTCACATCCTGTCTCTGTGAGGCAGATCAAGAATTAAATTTCCATGGAAAGCATTCCAAGGGCTTAAAAAGAGGGCAAAGGTACCTGGGGGTTTTGTAGAGACTGCAGACTGCAGATGCTCAGAGCGGTGGGGCGGGGGGACGCTCAGCTGGCTGACTGGGGCTTGGGGCTCCAGGGAGGCAGGCTGGCCTTGCTAGCGGGCCCCTCCCTCCTCACTATCACAGCAAAAGATACAGACTGGACTGAAACATCACTAACTGAGGGTTAGGAAAGATCTGGTGCCCAACTCTTAATCAGATCTACCCTCCTCTTAGGCCAGGGCGTAGGATAGACTGGGGCCACCGCCGTAAGTAAAGCTGCAGGAGCTGGTCACACACAACTTGGAAATGAAAAGAAGCCTGTCCTGGGAATTGTCTAAAGGAGAGGACCTCAGGAAAGAAGCAGCCATTCATTCACCGTGCGCCCCGCTGTGCCATAGGCCGCTGTACAACTTCGGTGTCAGTGAGAGGAGTGCGGTGAATCAAGGTGCCAGCCACCTGGCTGCAACCACACTGACATCGTCCTCCGGACGGGACAGAGCAGTGGCACATGGCCGTCTAGCACCTGTGGGCCCCACGGCCCCAGGGACTCCCAGAAATGTCTGCTGTTCGGTGGCCTGTGCAGGTGCTAGGCTCTGGGTGACCAGGGCGGGTGGGTGACCTGTTACGTGCAAGCAGCTGGTGCATGCATCGTGGGCTCATGCGTGCACAGAGATGTCCTAGGACACGGGGCTGAGTGGTGAGCGCAGGTGACGGAGGCAGGTCCCCGGGGCTGGGAGACACAGGAGAGCTCAGGGACAGATGAAACTTAAAATGGACACTAACCAAGGAGCAGTGCCAGGGAAGCGGTGAGGGTGCAGGGGAGGCGGTAGCCGCTCGGAGGGGGCACGTGGTTAGCATGTGGCTTGCTGGGGGAGTGTATGGAAATTCCCGAGGAAGGGAAGGCTGGACAAGAACAGATAAGACCAAATCGCGAGGTCTTCTCATGCCACGCAGGGCAGGAGAACGTTGTTCTAGGACAGTGATGGCGAACCTTTTGAGCTCGGCGTGTCAGCATTTTGAAAAACCCTAACTTAACTCTGGTGCCGTGTCACATATAGAAATGTTTTGATCTTTGCAACCATAGTAAAACAAAGACTTATATTTTTGATATTTATTTTATATATTTAAATGCCATTTAACAAAGAAAAACCAACCAAAAAAATGAGTTC